AGGACGCTTCAAATATGGCGGATGAGCTTCAAACAAGATTTGAAGTCAAAAGCCAAGATAAAAATACGATCCTAGATGACTGTCTGATACCATTAAGCAGAGAGGAAATTTTGGAAAATTTATCATCGGCAGTAAAACTTCTCTCAGAATTGTTCTACTCTCTGTCAAAAGCGAGGAAGATCTTTTTGGTTGGCAGATACGAAGAGAGAATACAAAGTTCGCTAAAAAATGTGCAGCCTACTTCTTTTCTTTTCGGCGATAACCTCAAATCGCTCATTGAAACCTCCAAGGCAATGGAGAGAGTGTCTAAGGACCTTAAAATAAAATCAACAAAACCACAAGTACGAACAAATCCTTTAAACTGGAGAAGCTCCAACTTCCGGAGGGAGGTTTTATAATAAATTGGGAAAAAAGTGATTTGGTACCTAATTTTTCCTGTAAATTCCTAGGCATAATAATTAATTCTAGAGAAATGACGTTAGAATTACCACGGGAAAAGAAACTTAAAATCAAAACGAAAGTAGAAAATTTGCTATCAAAAGATGAAATTCAAATTCAAACTTTAATGGAAATTATAGGTATAATCGTGGCAGCATGCCAAGCCGTAGCCTACGGGTGGCTTTACTATAAAGCACTTGAATCCTTAAAAAGAGAAGGTTTAGAAAAACATCATGGAAATCCTTAATAAAGCAATACATCTAAATAGTTTAACAAAAGAAGAACTAATTTGGTGGAACTCGAATATTTTATTATCTAAAAATCAAATTAGATCTAGTGTCTTTGACCTTGAGATTTTTTCAGACGCGTCTACTACAGGTTGGGGCGCAACCTGCGGAAAGAAAAAAGCCAGGGGTCTTTGGAATAAGAAAGATAGAGCTAGGCATATAAATTATCTTGAAATTAAAGCAGCTTTTTTAGCCCTCAGGTCGTTTGCATCTAGAGTAGTAAAAAAACAAATCCTTTTAAGAATTGACAATTTGACGGCATTAGCGTACTTAAATAAGATGGGCGGTATAAAACATAAAAATTTGAACGATCTTACGAAACAGATTTTGGAATGGTGCCAATCAAGGGAAATTTGGATTTTTGCGGAGTACGTGGCCTCTAAAGAAAACCCAGCTGACGAAGGTTCTCGTATTTCCAACATAGACACCGAATGGGAATTGTCGGAAATAGCCTTTCGAGAAATTGTTAAGAAATTTGGGAAACCGTCAGTAGATCTTTTCGCGAGCTCAATTAATAAGAAATGTTGTAGGTATTTTTCTTGGGAAAGAGACCCGGACGCTCTTGCAATAAATGCTTTAACGGTTTCATGGAAGGAGGAATTTTGGTATGCCTTTCCCCCATTCTCTCTAATATCAAGAGTTTTAAAAAAGATTAAAGATGAAGGTTCAACTGGAATCCTAGTAGTTCCTCTCTGGACATCACAGCCTTGGTTTCCAGAATTTAAAAAATTATTAATTTCAGAATTAATTGAGTGGAAACCTTCTTCTAAATTGCTATTTTCACCTTGCAGGAAGATTGTTCATCCACTGGCGACGACTCTTATCCTGGTGTCCGGAATTGTCTCCGCCAGACGTTCGAGAAAAAGGACTTGGAGCAGGACACGATAAAAATTTTACTGGAATCATTAGCTGAAGGGACCAAAAAACAATACGATACGGCACTAAAATATTGGTGGAAATTTTGTTCTGAAGAAAGGTTGAATCCTTATTAAGCAGACGAAGGAAACATATTAAAATGTTTAACAAAAAGGTTCAACGAAGGAGCCAGCTATGGGACACTCAACTCCTTAAGATCGGCCATATCTCTTATCAACAAGAAAATAACCACAGAAAATACCTTATTAAACAGATTTTTTAAAGGAGTTTTCCGGCTCAGACCAAATATACCAAAATATAGCACAACGTGGGAAATCGATCCAGTATTAAGAAGATTAGAAAAATGGAGTCCAACGGAAGGCCTTTCCTTAAAAGAAATATCGCTTAAATTAACAATGCTACTTGCATTAGGTTCCGCATTTAGAGTCCAGTCTTTAGCCGCTATTGAAAGTTAACAACATTAACATTTTGGAAGAAGGAATTGAAATTCGAGTCTCGCAGATTATCAAAACTTCTAGACCAACTTCAGAACAACCGCATGCTTTCTTTCAATTTTTCACAAACAAAGACCTTTGTATAGGAAGGACCCTAATACAATATTTGAAGCTAACTGAAGGAATTAGAGGTGAGATTGAAAATTTGTTCATTTCTTTCTAAAAACCTCACAGGAAGGTTGGATCACAAACCATAAGCCGATGGTTAAAAATTGTAATCTCAGAAGCAGGAGTTCATAAGAATTTTAAATCACATTCGACGAGACATGCATCAACATCGAAAGCTTTATGTAAATGTTTGGATGCTAACCCATAGTTAGTTCAAGGGCTGATTTTTCAAAAATAGTTTTGTCTTACAAAGTTTTGTCTTAAAGAAGTTAAAAAAAAAAATATTTTATTTTCCAATTTTCGTGATTATTAAAATCTAAAAGAAGTTTTTATTTTGTAAGAAAATTATAAGACTTTTAATTCTAGGAGAATTATAAGACTTAAATCTAACAAAGAGTTTAAGACTTTTAATTCTATGAGATATTTTAAAAAAGAATATTAATGTCAAGAGAGATCATATTTTAAGATTATATTTGTATTCAACGTTTAATAAATAAAACACAAATTATTCAGAAGTATTCTTTATTATTTCACTTTAAACATCTACAAGTATTATATATCTTCGAACAAGTAGATGATATATAATTTATGATTAAACGAACTTACAGTGAAGTTCGATCATAATTATACGAATCACTTGTTCCAAGATATAAACTCCCACCCAAAAAAAAAAGAAAAGAGAAAATTTTTTCTTAACCCTTTTTAAATATTCCCTCTACACGCTCTAAACTAAATGAAGGCATGGGCTATATAGAGGTAGACAAGGAGATAGGAGTAATTTAATCTCAATCTATCTCTAAAAGTGGCGTCATCCAGCGACAAGTCGCGGTACTACAAGTATTATATATCTTGGAACAAGTGATTCATATAACTATGATCGAACTTCACTGTAAGTTCGTTTTTTTTTCTTCTTAAATGACTTGAAGCTAGGCCAACTTTCAGAACACACCCTCTTATATACCAACTAGTTTTGCGTTTCTACAGAACGACTTTTTGAGGTTAGGAGTACTCGCATTTGCCTGGACCACCCGTCAATGGGTTTTTTCGACAGAGAAGAGGGAAACTGTAGAAAACCTCTCCTGAGTACAACCGGTTTATCGACAGCCGAGTTTTTAACGGTGTGTACTGGACAATAATAATAATAATAATAATAATAATAATAATAATAATAATCGACAATGGCGCCATCTGGAGTGAGCAGCGCGACACAGAAATTGGCAATCAGGAAGGAAGTCAACAGCAGTCGACAGTGAATAGCGAACGTGACAACAAAGCACTGTCGATTGTTAATTATTCTCTTTTTTTTATTTTATTATAAAAAAGGCTTGCTTAAACTGGACGTAACACAAAGTTTATTTGCAAACAATTTACGAATATTTTCGACAAGAAAAATGATTTATTACAATTCTTTAGATTATCTAGAAAAATTCAGTGTCGACGGCATTTGAGTGGAAATAATAAGTAATTTAAAAATTATTCAATAATTCTATCAGTTAAATTGGGAATCAATATTCAATGAGTTTGAAAAATAAATACAAAGATAGCAGTTTTATGAAAAATTTGAAATAACGTTAGATAAGCCGAGATGGGAAATAACACCTGTTAAGTTAGACAATTAAGTGTGATATAAAGCTAACAGTAAATATTGGCTTTATGTCATGACGCGATAATTTTCATTTGAAACATTACTTTTATTTTCACTAGGGGAAAATTTCTATGCATATCCTATCTTTCGATTATTCTCATAAATAATTTAAAAAAAATTTATTTTAATTCCAAAAATAAAGAGTAGGACAAAATTAACAATTTTTGTTCAAAATTAGATTAAATTTTAGGTAAGAACTACATTAAAGAACAATTTGCGAATACTATTAATTCCAGAATTCTAATTTTAAAATCCTAAATAGAAAAAAGTCGGAGTAAAAGTTGTAGAAGAATTGAAAGTAAATTTCTTGATAAATTTTATTTTGGATAGATTTTTTGTAGGTGAAAGGTTATGATTTTTAAGAATTCACATTCAGTATATAGAAAACTTGGGAAAAATTGCAGTATATAATGCAGCTAGAGAAACAATGTAATTATAAAATCTTGTTGATTTTTCGCAAAAGATAATTTTAATTCATCACACAACATAATATACATTTTTAATTGAGTAAAATCTTTTTCTTTCCTTTTGACACGCATCAAAATGGAAATTGTCTACTTAATTATCGCATAAATCTCTCATATATATATATTAATAATAAAAGTAAAATTAAATAGCTAGAAAAAAAATGCAATAAATTATTTTAATTAAAAAATGGAAATATTATTTTATTGTAAAGTAATTATTTCTTTAATTGCAACAAAAATTGTATTCAAAAAAATTTTTCTTTGCACAATTAGTATACAGCTAACTATAAATTAAATACGTCTTGTGATACGCTGTGAATCATAAGATACTGATTATCTATTGAGAAATTTTCTCCTCAAACTGATATTAGGGATTATTATAAAGAAAATTCTAAATGAAAGTGCACTTCTCTTAATAGTTCTGCGAAATGACTCTTATGTAAGCGAAATGATGACTCGGCAGAAAACGATCTTCCCGTCTTGTCTGCTTTATATTTCTCAAGAGAGTCATTTTCGACGGATTTTCTTTGATAATTGACAATTCTATTAAAAAAATTTTTTTTGCTTAGAAATTCGAGGCTAGAAAAGGGGTTCGAAACAGGAAAAAAAATTTTTAAATATACTTTGGCACAAACAATAGAAACTAACAATTAACTGACAGAAAACACGAAATTAAACAGAAAGCTTGATTAAATTTTTTTTATTAACATTAAATGTTGTAACAGTCAACGAAGGAAAAGAAAATAATTCATTTTTCAAAAAAGATCTTGCTGTGCATATCTTGCTGTGCATTAATTTTCCAATCGTAAAATATTTCTTGCTTAATGTCTCGAAACTTGATTTCTTTCAAATTTTTCTAAAACACCCAACAAGGGTTTATTGAGAATTTTCGGAGCATTCTTACCCCAGATAAGATCAACATGACAAAATGTTTCCACTCTTATTTTCATTATTTTATAAACGTTCGGTAATTTTGATGTCAGTGTTTTCATGTCCTTAAAAATTAAAGTAAAATTAAAGTAAAATCTAGATTGAAAAATTTAATTTTATTAAAGTATGTCAATTACCTCTAGTGGTGTTAGCTTGTCGCCCATAGAAAAAATAGGAACAATGGGAATTTTTATTTTTGTCAAATCATATTTTGGAGGTTTACTTTGATGATAACGTATTAAATTTTCTTCTTTTCCGTAGTCAAATTTGCGAAAATCGTCATTACTCAGTTGTTGCAAGAAATGTTTGAGATTTTTTGCCGAACATCGACCGCTCAGTTGCTTAAAAGCAGCTGCTCTATAAAACTGAATTTTTAAAAATTTTTTATTAAAATAAATTTTAAAATATATATTTTGATAATATAGAAATGAAATCTTTTTGATTATTAAATAATTAAAATTTTGTGAAAATATTTTTTGTATGTTAGAGAAAAAAACTTACTTTCAAAATATTATTCTTATCACATTTCATTATTGAGAGGGATAATTTAACCAATTTTGGAGTTCTACTAACTGATCCATGTTGATATTTCCCTAGTATTCCATCCCATATCTAAAAATTAAAATTATAACTAATTTCTCAAATATTTAACTGAGTATTATCGTCAGAGAAAAAAAGGAAAAGAAAATCTGTTATTGCCGCGGCGCCTAGATTAATAAATATTAAATCAAAAATGATATAAAAAATATTCTATAAATTTACCCATGTAGCATATAAAGGCAATTTAATAATCGGCAATGCCAGCTTCTGAAAAAAATTCACACTGCACTTTGAAAGTAATACAGGCGCAATTAAGAACGCAATACGTATTTTTGAAGCCATTTCTGGTTTTTCAGAGGCCATCACAAGGAATGAAGTTGCACCCATTGAATAGCCAATGTAAATTAGGGGTTGATTTGTAAAGTCAGTTATGTAATCAATCATTGTTGGCAGATCATGAACACCCAATTCATTAAAACTGAAAGTATTAAATAAATTTAAAAATTAATTTTAGCGTTGAGTTTTTTTTAATTCGGAATAATTTCTATTTTACCTGAAGTCCCAGTAATTTTTTTCGTTCCTACTAAAGTAAACATTTTCTCTAGAATAATTATTTCCGCGAAAATTGCCTAGCCATACATCATATTTCTCATTTGCCAAAAGAAAAGCTAAAGGATGAAGAAAAAATAATTATATATTTTTCCTCTTATTGTGGTCCATAGCTGACCCCCCTTTCCCCCTTTAAGCGCCACGTGGTTTATGGAAGACTCCTTAATAGTTTATAAAAATAAGATCACAAAATAATATTTGGACATAGACCGTTTTAAATTTAAATTTTTTAAATATATCCGCCATATTGGATCCGCCATTTTGAATATTGAAAATTTTGAAAATATGACTTTAGATTCGTAATCAGCGACCCCAAAAACCCCCTAGTAACAAGTTTCAATAAAATCTACTGTCTGGATTTCCCGGGGGCACGAAAAGGTTAAAACATTTTTTTCAGTGAAATAAATACAAAAAAAAGTATAATTTTTTTTATTTACCAAGAGAGTTGTTTTGAGTGAAAACCCAAGAATAGGAAGTAGCAAAAATACCATGCTGAAGTAATATTGTTTTTGACCCTGGAGGACCCCTAATTCGAAACATTTTTAATATAAAACCATCAAGTGTAGTGACAGAATGTTCCTCAGCAGGAAATCCTGCTTCCTCTATCATTTCAATCTATAAAAAAATATTTTTGCATTCTAGAAATTATTTAAATAAAAGATAAATAATATTTACTATAGAAAATATTAAAATATTTCTGCAATAAGCTGTTTTTGAATATATAATATTTCATACCATATTTCCCAATTCACTAGCTTCATTAATTTTTTCACAATAAACGCTAATTAACTGTAGTACAAAGAGAACCAAAAGTTTCATTTTTAAAAAAAATTTTGTCCGCGAACTGCAAATAAGAAATAATTTTTACTAGTAACAATTGCTATTTTATTTAACAAATTTTTTATATTTTTTATCAGTCGACTAGATTAGTATTTTAAAAAATTTTTATTTCATCGCATAAGTTTGTCAGTGTATGTATATAATTTGTAATAATTTACAAATAAAAAATAATAATCTTTTTATCATTTTTTTTTTTTTTTTTGAAAAATAATAAGATTTCAAATACGTGAACATTTTTTCCCATTAAATAAAATAATTTTACGAGAAAATTTAAATTTAATATTCTTTGCGATTCAAAGTTATCTTTATTTATTTAAAGATTTCATGAAAGTGTAACACGTGAAGAAAAGTTGGTTAGAAATATTTTTTTTTATCTATAATATTGTAACCCTCAAAAATTATTTATCGAAATAATATAAAAAAAACTAATTTGGCTATACACCACAAAAATATAACCTCAAAAATTAAATAAATATTTATTATCAACACACGAGACCACCAGGTTAAGTGTCTATTAATAAATAAATTTCTGAGACAAACTAATTGATAATATATACGAGGTTACCAAGCTAAATAAAATCAATTTTTGTATTATTTATCTCAAAATTAAATTAAATGAACTAAATTAAAATCAATAAATAAATTTTAGGTTACACTGACGTTGCAAAAATAAAGAGAAATGAAATACTAAAAATCAAATCACAAATTATTGTTGGACGCCAAACTGAGTCAAATTACAAAAGAAAATTAATTTTAAAAATAAAGAAAAATTTGCAACGACTTTAAAGTTACTCGGCTACTCAAAAAACTAAACGGTAGAGAGGGGAGGTCGTTAGCGATAAAGACTGAAAAACTAATTATCTAAAATCAAAATTAATTAAATCACAAAATTTATATAAAATTACAATTTTAATTAAATATCTTTAAATTACACAATTCATATACAATTAGTCCAGAATTAACATTAATCAAAATAATAGTTTAAATATTCATTTGTCACGGAATTCCAAGATTATTCCCAAAATATGTCAAAAATGAGAATAAGGAAAATGTCACATAAATATCACACAAATATTCATCAATTTAGGATGGTTCAAAACAATATATTTAGGAAAGATTCACCAAAATAGAATTTTCAACAAAATTCATAAAATATAATTGTCAATAAATTTAAGAAATGGTCAAAACACAATTGGAGAAAATATCACACAATTGGGAAATTACAAAATATTCAAAATTGAAAACAGGTTACAATATTTAAATTACCAAAAGAATAATAATAATGAAAATTCAGTAAAGAAAATTAATATTAAAAATCAAAATCTAAATCAAAGATGGACACAATAATCACATCAACACAATTTACTAAAATACAAATTAAATAAATCTTTACTGAATTTCAATAAAATAAATCCTTTTACCAGAATTACCAGAATTATCTTTATGAATTTCTGGCAAACAATAAAATTTTGCCAAAGAGGTATTAGGGTAGATGTACCAGTTGTGGCTACTTTAAGCTGCGTTAGTCGTCTTTTAGTAAGAAAATAAATTTATTAAAGTACTGAATTTCATTATAATTTTTTTAAATCATATTTAATGGAGTCAATTATATTGATTTTCAAACTTAATAACGTTTTTTAGCTATATTTGCTATTAAAAAAAACAAATTGCTTCAAAAAACCTGTTTCACCAGTAGTAGCCACACAAGCACCACTTGTGGCCACTGCTTAAAAAAGTGTTATCAGGATATTGAGGAATTAATTTTTTTAATAAATAATTAGAATTAGTAAATCTATCGTGTACAGTAATTAAGTAAATTGATATGTATAATAAAAATGTTTAAAGTTACCAATTTTTTTATTTATTAAAAAAATGTATTTTTGTCAAAAGAATTGTTAAAATCTATCTTGTATCATTCTTTTATTTAAGTAATAATAATTTTATTGTCTAAATAGGATAATAGAGGAATAAATTGATAAATTCGAATTTTCTTTTTCATTTTTATTTCATGATCGTGTACAAATAATTCGTACATATGGAAAATGTAGTAACAACATATATAGAATAATTAAATTATTCTTTTAAAAGACAAAGTTACTTGAAATCATAGAATTAATTAATTCTTTTTTCCAGGTGAACTATTTGAATTTGAAGTTTCAATATTTGTTATATTTTCAAATTCATTTAAAGCTTCAAGCAAAGGTTCATAGACAAATTGCTCAGCATATTTGCCCCAAGCTATATCCAAATGACAAAAATTTTCATATTTAATTACTATACTTTTAAAAAGACGAGGTAATTTTGACACCAGTATTTCTATGTCCTAAAAAATATTATTTCGTATTTTTATTTGTAATAAAAATTCAATAAATAACTTCAATAAATATTTAGAAAAAAACACTGATTAAAAAAAATGTGTGCTTAATTTTTGTTTTGTATTGAAATATAAAGAAATATTTTTTTTGAAAATTAAATTCTAATTACCTCCGGCGGTGTTAGTGGATCGTCAATTGAGGATATAAGAACAACAGGAATATCGATTCTTGTTAAATTATATATTGGAGGTGAATTTCTTTTATGGACTTTCAAATTCATTTTACTATCACCAAAGTCATATTTGAGAAAATCACCATTACTCAATTCTTGTAAGAAGTGCTTTACATTTCTAACTGAAGTTCCACCTTCCAATTCCCTTACAATTTCTGATACGTACATCTAGTTGTAAAATTTATAAAATTTATAAAATTATTCATCTATTAATGTAAACATTAAATTTTTATAAATTTACCTCTTTAAAGTGATTTATATTGCAGCTCGCTACAGACATAGTAATGTCAGTTTTAACTGAAAATTCCGAATTTTTGTTTCCAGTTGCGTACTTTTCATTTCCAAGAATTTGTTTAGCAATCTAAACAATAATTAACGAGAAATAATAAGTATTTTTCTATTTTCTAATATCATATAATATAAAATATTAAAAATGGTAAAAGAAAAAAATAAAATCAATTTCTTTAACGTACCCATTTAGTATTAAAAATCAATTTAAAAAGTGGTAATAGAAAATTTCTTTGGAAAAAAGTTCCAACATTTTTCATGTAAGCCACTGGTCCAAGTAGAAATGCAATGCGTATATTTTTATTCATTTCTGGTTTTTCAGAAGACATTACAAGAAATGAAGTTACTCCCATTGAGTAACCGATGTAAATTATCTGCTGTTTTGTCTTTTTTGTTACGTAATTTAACATTGCTGATAAATCGTAAACACCCAATTCGTTGAAGCTAAAATATTTCAAAGTTCATTTCCACTTTTTTTTAATATTTAAAAAAATCTAGTTTTTTAAGTTTTATTTGCAAAAAATAATAAATAACGGCCATATTGGATCCTCTATTTTGAATTTTTGTAAACTATCACCGTCTTTGTTATCCGCGATTCACCAAAATGCCGAGTAACAATTTTTAGAATTATCCGAGTAAATTTTGAAAAACCATCCGCAGTGCTCGAACTAAGTCCTCGTAAATCCCATAAAGGTTCGTAAATTTTCTTCAAGTCCGTAAAAGTTAGTCTTTTTGAAAAAAAGATCCGTAAAGTCCGTAATTTGATTGAGAAAATACGAAAAGTTCGTAAAAATTGCCTAACGATATAATTTCGAAAATTTTAGAAAAATTACAAATAATTGCAGAAATTCAATTATTTTCAAAATTAATAAAATTATCACAAATTTAACTATATATATTCAAAAATTAAAAAAAGTTATTGTAAAAATTTCAATTTTCTTCAAAAATAATAAAAAAATTGATTAAAAAATTAATTTCAGTTAGAATAATTTTAGATAATAATTGAATATTAAAAACATAATAGCGTGAATTTTTTAGAAATAATTGAATTTTGAAAAGGTTTTAAATGAAAATCTTTGAAAATCTAAATTTTTCATATTTTTAACTAACAATTTTGTGGAATTATTTTTTTTTTTGAAAAAGTTTAATTATTGCAGTTTTTTTGAATTTTTTATTGTCTAATATATATTTAATTGAAGAATTTCCGAATAATTGAAATTTTGTAAAATTAAATTGTAAACAAATGAATTTGAAAATTTTCAAAGAACTTTTTCAAAAATTATAAAAAATAATTGATCTATAAGAATTTTACTGAAAAAAAAAATAAAAAAAAATATATAATTTTGGAGAAGTTAAAAATTATTGCAGAAATTTAATTATTTTCAAGAGTAAATAACATTCTTCGCAGAAATTTGATTATGTTCAAAAATTTTTTTCGACAATTAATTGACTTAAAGAAGAAGTTTAGTTAAAAATTCTTAAATTAATAATTGAATTGAAATGATGAAAATAATTTCCGTAAAGTCCGTATTTTTAAATACTTTTAATGGTTCGAGCCCTGCATCCGCCATTTTGAATTTATGAAAACTAACACAGGATTCGTAATCCATGACACCTAAAATCCCCGAGTAATAATTTTCAAGTGAATAAAATTATTTTTTTCAATTAGCCGCCATATTGCATCCGCCATTTTGAATTTTTCGAAATGCCACTCGACATTAAAAAGTATTTATTTCTATTGAAATTTTAAAACCTGGTGTAATTTTTTATAAATAACGAAATTTTTTAGAGAAAGGGGCTTCAGAAATATTCAATTACCTGTAATCCCAATATTTTTCATCTTGCTTACTCATATTCACATGCAAAGAAGAATAATTGTTTCCTCGAAAATTTCCCATCCAGATATCATATTTTTCATTCGACAAAAGAAAAGCTTAGAAATGAATATACGTACTTAATTTTTTTTTTTTTTGAAATACATTTAGAACAAATTTTTATTAAAATTACAAAAATTATATGAAAAAATTGAAAAATAATTTTTTTTGAAAATAAAATTAAAAATAATTCTGTATAGAATATTTTTAATTTTTAATAAATTTAAATTTTTTAATATTTAATTACCAAAAGATGCGTTTCCATTGATAACCCAAGAATTTGAACTACCAAGAAAACCGTGCTGAAGAAATATTGGTTTCGCGCCCTTTGCACCAGGTATTCGAAACATTGTTAAAATGTAACCATCTTTTGTGGTCACATTATGAGTTTCCACTTTGAATCCCGCATTTTTTATAAATTCCGACTGGTAGAATTAAAAACATTTTCTATTTTAGAAATTATTTGTTAAAACTTTTTTAAAATTTGAAGTATACTTCAACTTTTAAGAAGAAGTAAAAAATAAGTAGAAGAAATTATTAAGTGCAAAAAATCGAGTCGTAAATAAGAAATAAAAAAAACTTACTGTATTTTTAGGATGATCATCACTTGCTTCACAATTTACAGAGTAAATTGAAATCAATTGTAATAAAATGAAAAAAATAAACATTTTCATTTTTCAAATTTTTTTCCCCTCACAATTCTATTTAATGGAATATAATGAAAAATAGGTTTTGATTCTTCACAGAAGACTGTTACTATTTAAAAAATTGTACGTTATTTAGTTGTACTGTTTTATTTTCTTTTTCAAGATATAGAAATAATTCTATGATAATTTTTTTTATTTTAAAAACAAACTTCGTGATCGCATCTAGAATAAAAAAAATAGATAAAAAATATTTCATTTTCCACTGCAAGGTTAAATTGATAAAAAAAATTTACTTCTCTGCAAATAAATAATATTATCTACTTTCTAAAAATGTTCTGCTGGAAAAATAATACTTTTCGTTAATAAATTTAAAAAAATGCAATTTTCTTTTACTACGCCTTACATTTTACCCCAATGATTACATTTTATTTCAAAACGAAAACTCATGAAATCCACTTTTTGTTTTATTGTTATGTTAAAAATAATATTAATAAATTTTCTTTTTTTAATTAAAAATATTTTCTTTTGTTTATTTTACGAGAAATTTATTTTCGTTTTCGACAGTAGAAATGTAGGATTTTGCTTGAAAGAAAAAAAATTTGATTCACATTATTTGAATTAAAAATGAGATGTAGACAATAGTGCTGCCAGTTACGTGTGTTGTATAGAAGTTAATGATGTATTAAAATTTCCATGTAATTTAATAACAATGTTTGTGCGCCCCTTCTTTTATGCTTACTAAATAGGGTATGATTAGCATGCATTTAATGAGAATTTCTAATACAATAAGGACAACCCAGTGGGCACATTTGTTTAAAAGACGTCCTAAGGATGTCTTTTTGTAGACGTCTTTATAGGACTTTAAGAAAAGATGTCTTAAAGACGTCCTAAAAATGTTTTATGTTTGTCTTCTTTACCTAAGTCAATTTTTTAAAAAATTATTTTTGAAAAAGTTTTTTGTCAATTTTTAAATTCTTTTGTTTACAATTTAATTTTACGAAATCTCGATTATTCTGACATTCTTTAATGAAATATTAGAAATTAAAAACTTCAAATAATTTTAAAAAAATTCCATTAAACTTTTTGAAACAAAATGAATCTAACAGAATTCTTAATTAAAAGTATGAAAAGTTCAAATTGTCGCAATGATTTTAATTTGAAACCTTTTGAAAATTCAATTATTGCTAAAAATCCACGCTATAATGCTTTCAATAGTATAATCCTAAAATTTTAACTGAAATTCATTTTTAAATCAATTGTATTAAAAATAATTTAAATTCTGCCAAAAATTTTATTAAAATTTTTGAAAATAATTGAATTTTGGAGAAAAATTTTATTATTTATAAATGTATTTAAAATTTTGTCGAAAATTTTTTGTAAATTTTTGAACATAATTGGATTTCTGCGAAGAATTATAGTTCTTGAAAATAATATTTAGTAATATTTATTTATTTATTGAATATATATTACTCCTTGAAAATAATTGAATTCTAGAGAAGAATTTTATTAAAATTTCTTTTTAAATAATTGAATTCTTTTGGGAAATTTTATTGAAATAGTAGACATTGAAAACAATAATTGAATTTTGACAATCTTTTGAAATTAATTAAATTTCCACAAAGAATTTTATTAAAATTTTTTTGAAAAAAGAATTGAATTGTTACAAAGAATTTCATTAAAATTTTTGAAAATAATTAAATCCCTGTAAAAAATGTAATTATTTCGCTGAAAATAATTGAATAATAATTTATGAAAATAATTTGTAAATAATTAACTTCCAGTAAAATTTTTATTATTTATAAAAATAATGAAATGTTTGCGTAGAATTTTATTAAAATTTTTGTTAAAAATAATTTATTTAATTATTTAAGAAACATGATTATTCATTGAATTTTTTTATTAAACTAGTAGGTATTAAACATCATTGAATTGAGGAAAGTTTTTGAAAATAATTAAAATTTTATTAAAATTTTTGAAAGTAGGTAATTGAATTTTTGAGAAGAATTTTACTACTTTTGAAAATAATTGAATTTTTGCAATAATTTGTAATTGCTTCAAAATTCAATTTGTTTTAGTGTTTTTAATTAAAATTCTTTTATAAATCCATTAATTTTTAATAATCAATTAAATATATTTCATTATATTAACAAATTTAACTAATTTCAGAAGAATTTCAGTTATTATAAAATTTTTTAAAAATCTAGATTTTTTAAAATTTCCACTTAAATTCATTTAAAATTGAATTAATTTTGAAATATTTAAGTAAAATTAGGGTATTTGGACAAGAAGTCAAAAATAAAAAGTCCAAACCAAAAAATACAAAGTAAATGAAATACAAAAAAATAAAAAAAAAAAATAGTTTCACTTTGGACTTATTTTTTTGCATTTTTTGTCCTTGTCAAAAAGTCCAAAAAAAAAAATTAAAAATTCAATGAAAAAAGTTGAAATATAAAATTTTAAATTGTTGTCTTCATTGAAATTGTCCTTTTTTGAGTTGCTCATTTCGATGAGGGGCCGTCCATAAATTACGCAACACGTTTACAGGGGAAGGGGGGTTCGAGAAAATGTTATCATATGTTACATGGGAGGGGGGTAAAGTAAAAATCGAATCATTTCACGAATCGATTCTTGGGAATAATATAAAATATTGTTAAAAAATCAATGTTATATTTTTGGTTGTTCAGTATGATTAATAAAATTATTCCTCTAAATGTTTTTTATATTTAACTTAATTTTGTATGGCTATTGTACGATATAAATACTAAAAATAACAGTAATAAACAAATTTGTTTCGAAAAACGCTAGTAAAAAAATATTTTTAAAAATTACGTAACAATGATAGGGGTGGGGGGGGGGTGTAAAACGATTTTGTTACAACTTGTTACATGGGGGAGGGGGGGTTCAAAATTTCACTAAAAACGTGTTACGTAATTTATGGACGGCCCCTGACTGTGAATCAAAAGTATAGGTAAACTTAACATTTTAAATTTCTGAAAATAATTAAATTAATCGAGTAATTTAATTGGAATTATATTGAAAAAAATAATTGGATTTTTGTAAAGAATTTTATCAAAATTGTTGAAAATAATTGTATTTCTTGGAATACCTTTGGTTGGTCTTTTTACGAATAGTATTTGCATTCATATTACTTTTTTCTAAAATTAGGACTAAATAATTATGATATGTTTTGGCCACAGTGTGAATACACTTATTTTTTTTACGATTTAGTTCTCTAAAAAAAAACCACTTTTTCGCCTGAAAGTCAACTAACATTGAACCACTTTGTCTTTCACAAAATCAAAGTGGTTAATTGTTAGTTGTCTTTTTTTGGTTTATATAGATATTAAAATTGTTTCACTTCATGCCCACGAATATAAAACAAGTTTAATAGCCAAGCCGATTCTTGTTGTCCTTTTGAATTCAGCTTTCCGTCTGAAACAAATAAATAAATTTATATATTATTGATAAAAAAAGGTGAATAAAAATTTTCTTACCTTGATGCTGGATATTCTTTATGTTTAAATTTAATTTAGCATTTGAAAAATTAAATTATTAATTTAAATTTAATTTACCTATTAATTAGTTAAATGTCAGGGGAAAATTAAGTGCATCTGAATTGGGTATGTGACGATCCTCTATCCATCCTCATACGACAATGGGTATACATTATTTTTTCATAATTATAAAAATTGTTTCCTCTACCCTATAACAGATGAAATTGAGTATTTGCATTTTTTGAACTGTGTATCCATGCATTTTTTGAAAACCATTCTTGTTGGACCACCTGTTTGAATCATCTTATTTCTGAACTCCATTAAATTGTCTAGAGATCCTGTTCTATTTTACAATTCACATGTTGTTTGTTCACAAATTAGTTTGTGGATATATTTATAATTTGTTATTACAATTTGTTGACGTCAGCTACCCGAGGATGTCAATCCAAATTGCAAGTGAGAACTTCCTGCTTCTTGTCTTCTCAAACAAGCTAACTCGTCATCCAGTCTCGAAATGCATGCTGCCTCTTCATCTCACAGCTTTATTAGCTCCTTTTGATTTTTGTTCCAGTACGGATTATAAATTTTAAACTGATTTGCTATTGTCATAGAAAGTTCTAACTTCTGAAAGAGGTTCAAAAGGAGTAAGCCTAAATGTGCGATTGCAGGAGCAAAACTACTTTCCAGAAAATAACTTCAAAATAATCTGATAGCATAAAATTATAAAAACTGAAGTTAGAAAATAAAAACGTTTGGAAAAACATAATAGAAAATAATTATATACTAAAAATAAGATTTATGGAAGCTAGAAGAATATCCTATTTCACAATGCGATGAGGATATTTTTAGAAATTAAAAAAACTTACATTTGACTTACAGGGGAAAAAAATGTCAGCTAACATTCAGACAATGGATGGTAGGAAAAAAATGCTTTCTTTTTTGAAAAGATTTTAATTTGATAAATTTTCATCACCTTTATTCGTACCACCCACCTTTGCCTATTATCATATATACATGTATATTTTTTTTTCTCTCTCTCTCTCTCTGGTAATACATCCGCCTGCGCCACCTCGGCATGCTTTTTGCAGAAGAAAACCCTCGCGCATCCGGGAGCATTGCGTTTCATTCACGACCACCTGCTCGATCTGGAAACATCAGCTGATAGGACCGTCTCATTTAAATCTTACGTGAAAGTAAACTTTCAAAAAAATTTACTAAAAAATATTTTTCAATTTAACAAAAAAAAATAGTATATTACTTTGTTTAAAAAATCTAATAGAAAACAGTAGAAACAAAAATTTATCTCGAGAATGAAACTTTTTTTGACACAAACCTCCGATTGCTTCGCGGTGATTTCGATTACCGCGTTTCTCATCATTTCATTCAGTTCGGAGACTTCGGCGAAGCGTAAGTCATTTAATCAAAATTAAATTTTTGATTAAATTATAATTCGATTAAAATAATTTTTTTTTTATAATTTACACATTAAATGTTTAGAATTTTTTGTTTAAATTTTATTAGGTATATAAATTATATAATTAAAATATATAATTAATTTTGTAATTAAAATATATAATTAATTTTATAATTAAAATATATAATTAATTTTATAATTAAAATATATAATTAATTTTATAATTATATAGAAAGAAAGGTCATTTTTTTGATTATTTGACTCGAAAAGAATGATCTTTCTTTCTATATAACTATTTTGATCGAGTGATAAATTCATACTTATACATAATTTTATAATTAATTGCAATATAAAAGTTTATATAAATTATATAATAATTAAATTTTTAATTAATATTTTATATTATTAATTACTTTACAAGTTATTATTTATTACTAATTGTTATGCTATTAATTACTTTACCAATTGCTAATTACCTACAATTTACTTATTATTACATTGCTAATAATTAATTAATTAACTAATTGTTTATATCTAAATACTTAACTGTTATATTATTAATTAAATTAAAATTGTTATTAATTAAATTACTAATTTATATTATTAATTACGATTTCAGTAATTAGATTATAAAAAAATCGATTTGTTACCATAAGTTTGGTAAATTAATTTCTTTCAATTGTTGCAAAAAAAAAATCAAAAATATTTAATTTTGGGCAATCAAAAAATCCCTTTAAACAAACGTTTAAAAAACTATTGGAAAAAATTATTTATATAATTTTATATAAAATTTGTCATATTTATTCCCAAACTTTATTGGTAGATAAAATCGAAACTTCTCTTGTCAATTTATTGTATATTTACCCCATTTTCATATCTTTTTTTATGCATCTAATTAGCATGTTTTTATCAATAGAAGGGTCTTTCAAATTCTATATAATGATTTATTTACTTTTCGTATTGACATCTATTTTATAAATAAATTATTTTCTTACTTTAAAAACATATGTATTTATAAATAATAGTAATTTTTTCTTCCTAATATAATTATTCTAAATATTAATAAAATTATTTCCCCAAAGGGGGTAGAAAAATATAAAAATATATTTTTTTTCAGATCAATTAATAGTTTAGATTTTTTTTAATTTTAATAATAAAAATAGTTCAGTTATCTTTAGAGGTAAATTTTTTTTAATCTTCTAGATTTTTATTCTAATTATTCGGTCTTAATTAATTTCTTAATTATTTATTTATTTAACTATTTTTTGTTTTATAATTTTGTTTTCAACATTTTAGTAACTTTTGTTAATATCGAAAATTAAAAAATTTTCTGTATGTGTAAAATAAAATGAGCGATTCAATTATTTTTCCTTTTTTTGGGTAAAAAAAAGAACTGAAAATAAAAAATAAATAAATATTATTATAAAAGAACGAGAAGAAATAAAAATGAACAAACTCCCACTGCAAAAAGAACAAGTTTGTTGGTGCATATACACGCAACATTATATTGTTTGTTGGAGATTATATAGTTTTGAAAAGCATTTATTGTATACAATACTAGACAGTGTGTGAATTTATAGTTAACCTGCAACTTTTCACATGTCTGCACGTGAGTGTAAAATGTATGTAGTTTCATGAAGAATAACTTTTCCATCAAAGTCGATTCTGAAGGAGGAAATAACTATATACATAAACTTGTAACATTCACAATTATAACATTCATCTTGAGGCTTTGTCTTCCATTTTTTTTCTCCAATGCTTCATTTTCTATATTTAAAGCAAATTTTTTCAATAATTTAAGGAGAGAAATAGATAAATTTTACCTTTAAATTTAGGTCAAAAAAAAAATTTTTTTTTCATTTCAAAAGAAAAAAGTAGTAAATTGTAAAATAAATTTACTTATTTTATCTTTTATTACTTTTTTTAACTTTATAAAGACAAATTTAAAGTTAATAGGTTTAGTTATTTCAAATAAATAATAAATAACACTTTAAACTTATTTTGCAAAACAATAGTAAATTATATAAAAATATTTTTTTATTTATTGGGTAAGACTCCGTCAGAAAAAAAGCGATTTGCAAGTGGTCTTCCGATTTCTTCGAAACCTTGGGAAATAGAAGTCTTATATGAATCAAATTTAACCCTAAAAGGATTTTGAAAAATTTTCAAAATGGCGGCCGCTACGCCATATTGAAAATGAGTGTTACGTTTTTTTCAAAAATTAATAACTCTGAAACTTTTTGATCGATTTTAATAAAATTTACAGGCGATATAGTTAAAAATACGTAGTTTAATTTGATATTACGAACAAAAAAAAATTTCCAAAATTTGTCAAAAAAAAAGTCAAAAAAATTTTTTGAATTAATTTTTAGTTTAGTTGGCCTAATTTTTGAATTTTCTAATAAGTAAATATCGATTCCTTGTAATTTCACCTTTCATTTCATAAAAAAAAATTTATGGAGACTCTAATAGTTCTCGAGATATTGCGACTTTAGTGGGAGCGCGTACCGCGGAATTAAACTCCGTAGCGAGGCGGAATATGAAGCGAGCGTACAAACGTGCACAATAGGGTGTCCGTAACAATGCGACTTTCGAATTTTGTTTACGCCACCCCCCAGTTTAGTTCCAATAAAATAAAAAAAATTTCCCAAAATTTGAAGCCGATTGATTAATATTAACACGTGCCAGAGATCCATCGAAATTTCCCATTAAAAATACATAGGAAAAATGCACTTTTTAAAAAAAATTTATAACTTTTTTAATTTTCATGCAAAAAATTCTCCAGGTCACATTTGCCTTCATTTTTAGCTGCACTATAAGATAGCACTTTGCCAAAAATTAAATTTTTAAAAATTTTTAAAATGGCGGATGATTAAAGTGGGTCATAAAAATGCACCACAATATATCCAAGGTTTTAACACATAAGTGTTGTCAAAAATTCAAAAAAATTACTTACTCGGGGCTATTTTCGATCGTTCATCATGAATCTGATATCAGAATTTAATTTTTCCAAATTTTCGATCCAATATGGCGGGTTCAAAATTTTGATTTTCTACATTTTTAAAGTAAAAATTCTAAAACAACGTCAAGGGCGATTTTTGGAAGCGCTATTTACACTCAGAGAAAAAGTTTATTTCACTTAACCAAACTGTTTAATTAACCTATTTTATTTGTCACGATAAAACAATTTTGTTGATTTAAATAAAAATTTGGTTTATTTTAATAAATACGTAAAATTTGTTTGGTTATTGGAAAGAAATTTTTTATTTGAAGTTGTTTGTTATATTTAACCAAATTTGTGTTTTGAATAGAGAATATTGTTTAGTTAAATACAGTTTGTTCGACACAACACACAAATTTGTTTGATTCAACCAAATCATTTTATTTGAGTCAAAAAAACATATTTGCTTGTCTCAAAAAGTACATGTTTGAATTTAAAAATGGCGATCTCACTTGTCTACAGTCCGCGTTCGCGTCAAATTTATTTGTTAAATCGGTAAATCAAAGAAAAAAAATTATAAGTGTCGGTTAAATAAATATTAAATACATTGTGTTCATTGACTTACTGCATATTTAATTTGTACCAGTGAGAAGAATATTTGCAAAAACGTTTTGTGAAGTTTTCAGTTTGTTGTTTCGAATAAACTTTTTTCTGAGTGCACGTATAAAAATCATAATTATAATATGTTTAATGTAATATTTCAAATGTTTTTTTATAATTAAGTAATTTTGTCTATATGAAGAAATACATATATAATATTTTACTTAATTGTTATTTATTTTCCTCTTATAATGTTTAAGTTTCCTAATTTAATATTTTCTAGTATACATATTATTGGTTAATTTATAATTTATTATATGTATAATTTTAAAATATCAATAATTATATAATAAATTATAAATTAACCAATAATACGTACTAGAAAATATTAAATTAGGAAATTCAAATATTATTAGAGGAAAATAAATAACAAAATTAAGTAAACAAAAATATTTATTTAAATGAACCAAATACGTTTACTAAAACTATTTATTTGAATCAAACAAATCTTTTCTCTTGAAATAAACAAATTTTTTAGTTATATTAAATAAAATTTTTTGGTTAAGTGTAATAAGCATTTGGTTAATACAAATAAACGTATTGGAAGAAATTTTTTGGTTGAATCAAACAAACGTTTGGTTGACTGTATAGCAATGCATTTATTTGGTTGATTCAACCAAAATTTGGTTGATTCGTACAAATTTTTTTCTGAGTGTACGAATCTAATGTTAAAATTTTATTTTTCAAATTATTCGATTCACTATGACGGATTCAAAATTATGATTTTCTACATTTTTAAGTAAATAGTCTAAATATTAATTTATAGATTAATATTTACAAAAAATAATTATTGGGATGTTTTAGAAACTCTTTTATAGAAATTTAACTTTTTATACCTCTGCTCTTAAAAATCGATTATTAAAGGAATATTTAAAAAAAAAATTTGAATCCGCCATGTCATATTAGATTCGGTAATTTAAAAAATAAATTTTTAACATTAGATTCGTAAATAGCGCTTCCAAATATCGCCCTTGACCTTGTTTTAGAATATTTACTTCGAAAATGTAGAAGATTAAAATTTTGAACCTGCCATATTGGATCCAAAATTTTGAAAATTAATTGTTACGGACACCCTATTGTGCACGTTTGTACGCTCGCTTCATATTCCGCCTCGCTACGGAGTTTAATTCCGCGGTACGCGCTCCCACTAAAGTCGCAATATCTCGAGAACTATTAGAGTCTCCATAAATTTTTTTTATGAAATGAAAGGTGAAATTACAAGGAATCGATATTTACTTATTAGAAAATTCAAAAATTAGGCCAACTGAACTAAAAATTAATTCAAAAAATTTTTTTGACTTTTTTTTGACAAATTTTGGAAATTTTTTTTTGTTCATAATATCAAATTAAACTACGTATTTTTAACTATATCGCCTGTAAATTTTATTAAAA